TTTGGAGAAAGTGTGTCACTGGGGTTGGGCTTTCGGCTTTGAGGTTTCAAAAGCCCAACAGACCCAGTGGCTTTCTCTCTCTTCCTGCCTCCTGTGGACCCAGTGATAGAACTCTCAGCTCCTTCTCCGGCACCATGTCTGCTGCCTGGATGCTGCCATACTTCCTGCCATGGTGACCATGGACTAAACCTCTGAAACTGTAAGAAACCCCAATTAATCGCTTTCCTTTAGAAGAGTTGTAATGGTCATGGTGTCTCCTCACAATAACAGAACACTGACTAAGAAAAGCATCTTGGTGTTTGCCTTGCAGATTGAGACTGGAAGTTGGGAAGAGCATAAATAGGCTCACAGTCATAAGACTGTGTCTTTAGAAGAATTGTGAAGACTGCCTGGCTAATTCCTCTCAGAAGCCCAGATAAAGATTCAGGGAAAAGTCAAGTTTGCAAATCTACTGCTTCATTTCTTCTGCTTTTGGCTCCTACTGCTTGTGAAAGAGTGATGGATTATGGGGACTGGGCTGTTGTGATGGTGAGTGACTTAACTGCCAGAAAAGTGATGGAGATTTGGAGAGTGGATTGATCTGATGAATGTTATAAAAGTAACTAGTTTGAACTAGTTTCTGTACCTGTGATTACTAATTAAAATTTCTGTGATGATGGGCATATTCTTTGCTGTTCAATATGGTAGCTAATAGTTGTAGATGGCTACTGACTACTTGAAATACTAATATTAAGCTAGTATACTAAAGACAGTTAATTTTATTCAATAGCAAGCAATTTACTTTTTATTTTAAATATTTGCATGTGGCTGGTGGCTCCATAATGAATAGTGTAGTTCTAGACCAGCAATCAGCAGACTATGGCCTGAAAGCCAAATCCAGCCTACACTTGTTTTGGTAATGGTCCATAGTTTCTAAATGAAGACACCATGGGGATAGGGAGAAGCAGAGTGCTAGAGAGATTCCCAGGAATCCACAAGGATGACTCCACCATAGACTACTGGCAATAGTTGAGAGGATGCCTGAGCTGGCCTACTCTGGTGATCACATGGCTGAATACCCTGTCATCTTAGAACCCTCATCCAGTGACTGATAGAAGTAGATGCAGAGATCCATGGCTAGGTCCCAGGTGGAGCTTCAGGAGTCCAATTGATGAGAGAGAGGAGGGATTCTATGAGCAAGGGATACTGAGACCATGATTGGAAAAAATACAGAGACAACTAGCCAAACTAGTGGAAATGCATGAACCGTGGACCAATAGCTGAGGAGCCCGCATGGTACTGGACTAGGCCTTCTGGATAAGTGAGACAATTGTTTAGCTTGAACTGGTTAGGGGCAGTGGGATCAGGATCTGTCCCTAGTGCATGAGCCGGCTTTTTGGAGCCTAGTGCCTACAGTGAGACACTTTGCGCAGCCTTGGTGCAGGGAGGAGGGGCTTGGACCTGCCTCAACTCAGTGTACCAGGCTCTGCTGATTCCCACTCCATGGGAGACCTTGCCTTGGAGGAGGTGAGAATGGTGGGTGGGTTGGTGGGAAGGCTGGGGGATGGGAGGACAGGGGAATCTGTGATTGGTATGTAAAATAAACAGAAAAACTCTTAATAAAAAAATAGGAAAAAAATTTTAGATGGTGGAAGAAGCCTCACCCACACAAAGACTGGGGGTACAGACGTATGTGAACTACAATCTAAAATGTTTAATATGTACATTTATAGAAATGTTTCTTAATTCTCCTTGTAGATATTGCATTAGCCATTCTAAAATGATAATGGTCGTGCCAAGGTCAGTACACTTGCCAAAAATTCTATAATACAAACTAGTCTTTCTTCACTGAATTATCTGAGGTCCTCAAGGAGGCCAAAGTGTGGGAGCCCAGTAGGGAGACAGGCTCCCACATTTTATGACATGATACTCTTAAAGAGTGAGGAATAAGAGATATTGAATAGAAGGATAGAAGGGAGAGAAATAGATAGAAACAAAGGATAGCCTTGGGAGGGGGCCTGGATCATTATCCACTGTTCCCTCCTGTCTCTTCTAAAGGGCTACTTACAGAAATGCTGAGGGATGGAGCAAAAGATCTCCCTCTAGCACAGCCAAGTGTAGACTCTTCCAATCACCTACTAAGCACACACATGGCCAAGCAATCCTCTAATGCAGCTCTGCTGGGTAAAGCAAGCTCAGACCTCACTAGGAAACCTTTGTCGACCTCCACACCAAAGCGAAATTATGAGGGCCTTAGTCCTATAGCAAGAAGACAGAAACTGAGCAGAAAGAAGCCAGGTACAAGTCAAGGGCTCAGGAACTGAGGGCCAGAAGTGTGGCTAGAAGAGAAGTATGAGTAAGAGAGACCTGCAGGCATGCCCTAATAGCTACTGCCTGGGGGCACCTTGGGCCAGAATAGCAACACAACTGAGTCTATGGGCAGGAGTAAGCTGACCCTACATGCACAGTGGGAATAGTGACCTGGAGAGCTTTTAGAAAAGTAAGGGGCCCCTCCATCAGAGCTGTCCATGAATGGAAAGGAATGGAATGACTAGTGGATGATTAATTTATTCTTCTTTCATACAATACATCCCAACTGCAGTTTCCTCTGCTGCTCCCTTTTCTGCGCTGCCCCCCAGATCCACTGCCCCACTGTTTCCCTTCAGAAGAGAGCAGGCCTCCCAGGGACATCAACTGAACACACCATAACAAGATATAATACGACTAGGCACAAACTCTCACATCAAGGCTGGATGAGGCAACCCAGTAGGAGGGAAAAGGGTCCCAAGAGCAGGCAGAAGAGTCAGAGAGACTCCCATCCCCACTGTTAGGAGTCCCACAAACAACCAAGCTAAACAACATAGCATGTGCATGGAGAACCTAGCACGGACCCATGCAAGCTCCATGGCGGCCGCTTCAGTCTCTGTGTGCACCTGTGAACCCTGCTAATTGATCCTGTGGGCCACATGTTCTCACATGGTGTCTTTGAGCCCTCTTGCTCCAATAATCTTTCCTCCCCTCTTCTATGGGGTTCCCCAAGCTCTGCCTAATGTTTGGCTGTGGGTCTCTGAATCTGCTCCCCAAGGAAGCCTCTGAGAGATTTTTTTAGTAGGAGGGGAAATTAGAAAGGATTATTGAATGTAAAATATCTACTATAGTGGAGAATAAAAAATATTATATGGTTGTTTTCCCCTTGTCCTTGTACTCTATTGTCACTGGCTCTCTTGTGAAACACACCTATTTTAGATATACTATAGAGATGCTATACTTAATTTATAGTTGAAGAGAATGGGGCTTAGACCAATGAGGAGGATCTGTGTTTGCTTCTGTGCTGTCTAGGAGGATGTCTGTCAGGAGGTTACTGCCTGCTAGAGGGAAAAGTAGAACGCTCGTCAAATTAGGGTGAGAATGAGCAGTACTTTCTTAAATGTAAAAGCTGGTTTCCATGGTAAGGTATGAATTGTGTTTTCTCTGTACTCCAAAGTATCAGACTAGGTATAAACTTTATAAAAGAAAAAATTCCTAGTCCTTCTTGTCCAGAGACTGTGAATCCCAGCAGTGTTGTGCCCAGATGGATCACGTGACCACATGCCCCATTTTCCCTCTCAAGTTAACTGTGGCTGTGGGGTGGAGTTCTGACTCATGGAATGTGGCAGGTAACATATGCAACATCCCAGGGCATGGCCCACAGACTCTGCCCTGCCACCCTATACTTCTCCTTCCTTTTCCTAGCTGGTGAATGGATATCGACACCTAGGGCAACCATGGGAAGCACATACTGACTCAGCCTCTGTGGCCTGAGTCTCCACGGTGTGTGGAAGATAGCTACCCTTCTGTGACTGTGGAGATTAGAGAGGAAGAAATTCACATCTATTGAGTGAAACTGGGGAGATCTGGGGTTCTATCAGTCAACATAACCATAACAAACCTACCCCAGCTTCCCCTCTCAATACCACAAACAAGTGCTTGTGTATTTCATCTCTGGGCATGGCCAAAGGTGTCTCTTTTATTTTGGAGAAGCAAGAGCATGTCATTTTGTCCTAGAAAGAAGCTGACCTTTGGTTGACTCTTATGGTCACCCAAACATCTCCAGGAAAGATGAAATATTGCAAAGGTAGACTTTTCAAAAAGGAAGAAACAGAATTCCTGTTTTGGAAAAAGAAGTTTCTTCAGGTCAGTGTCTTGTCTTTAACCCTTGCTGTTGACAAAAGTGTGTGGGGAATGAAGACAGCGAGAGTACTTGCAGTCACAGGGAAGAGAAGGCATCACTTCTGCAAGAGGGAAAGTGAGGCTGAACTTTCAGAGTCCACAATTAACATTACTGCTAACCATAGGGTCTCCGTAAAAACTATTCTAGCATATTTTATCTGGGAAATACTGACATACATAAGATTTTCAAAGCTATATGTTGCCTTCTTTCTTCTCTGACTAGCCAGAAAACTCTATGCTCACTAAGGACCACAGCATTTTAACTGTAGCTTTGAGAAGCCATTGTAGATCTGAAGGAACAAGCTTCAATATTTCCTTGAAACTCTGACAAAATTGTTTCATGCTGTACTGCTGGTCAGGGGGAAGATGTCGTCAGGGAGTTCCGTGAATGGTGGAGGAATCAGGCCCTTGGAGGTGTGAATTCTCCTCAAGCCACATACTGGCTGCCAACTTGGGGAGCTTACCAAATCTGCCCTATCCATATTATAATCACCTTATTGACTACTGTGAAAAAACCCAAAGCAGTGCATTAAAATATTGTCCCCACCACTCAAGGTCAAACTCAAGGTCAAACCTTTGTAGGAACACTGCCACTCTATGGGGCTCAGGATGGCTTACTTCTGTCTGCCACTCCAACTTCCCTTGTCCATTGCTTTCCTTCACCTCTGCTTTTGTGACACATCTACACCCTGCAGTGTGCTCTGTCCCTCTCTGTGACATCTGTGCACCTGCTGTGCCCTCTCCGCTACTTGGCCTCCTGCCTTAGCTTCATTTCCTCTTCAGCCCAGGCTTGGACTCTAGCATCACTCTCTGTTGCTGTCTCCACATAGTTTGGTCCTTCTTTTGTGCCATTTGGATAATGCCCATTTTATGCACTGGCTCATGACCCCATGAGGCAGACATGGAAACAATGGTGAATTCACTACTGAACTAGCCAGCAAGTATGCACATACTTTTTTTTTTTAGAGGTTAGCAGAATACTTTGGGTTGTTTTTCAGGTAAGTTCATACTGTCAGTGTTGGTTACCCTCATGAAGTGATTTTGTGATTTGAATTTATTTGGTGACTTAGAACTCACTCAATACTCACTGTTACTTCATTCTCACTTGCAAAGTAACCCGATGACAGCTGCTTAGCTGAGTCCTAACCATCAGTGTCTTGAGGGAGCAAAGAGTTCTGAGAGCCTGCGCAGGCCACAGGAGCATTTCCTATAGGCTGAAGTATTACCCTGGCCGGGATTCAGTCATGACAATAGAACAGCACACATTATGACAAGAAAGCCCAGGCAACTACTTTCCAGTATATCTGTTGTCTTGAGGTTTAGATATCTTTTCTTTAGGAAACGAATATATTTACTTTACTTCTATATTTCTTCCTATGAATGAACAAAGAAAAATTAAGAGTAGCAATAAAAATAAATTTTCAAATACTAAATATGTTTATAATGTAGGCTATTCTGAACAAAGCTCAGATAATTCAGTTTTGCATTTTCAATGTGTGCACCAGTGAGCTGAATGATGTTTAGATTTTTCTCAGTTCTCTCTCAATAATGGGTCAGATAAATCACTGTCTGATTGCCTGTTACAGGCTGGAGATTGCACTGGCAGTGAGTGGCGGTAAAAGGCCCCAATTCAAACTCACTTGTGTGCAAACAGTAAACATTGTTTACCATATTTATATTTATGCCAATGATTATAAAATAGTCAACAGCCAAAAGACACTTAGAAAGAAAGCAACATCTTGCCTACAGAAAGAAATCTCTGACAGAAATTTTTCTCCATTTCCATCTGATTATGCTGTTTCACAACGAGGCAATCATGTGAGATAGGCAACCATCCCCAGAGCCACTTAGAGCTTTGCTATCAATTACAGAATAATAAGCTGGGGAACACAGGCATGCTGCATGTTAAAGAAAAACAATACTTTGGTTTGGCTCAATATTCTTTTCTCTGTGCATATTTCAAAATCTCATGGTTGACCCAGTTTGCTGTACAGATTTTCCTGTGTCTCTCTTCACTCTCTTCCTTGAAATAATGGTTATGATTGCAAACATTCATATCATTCATGAGGTTTTTGCCCATGCATCCTCTCCTTTGATTTGATATTATGCTTTAAAAGAAAAAAATCTAAAAGAAGGAAAGCACTTTTCAAGACCTATAAGATAAATCATCTAATGTTTGGTTAAATCGTCATGTGGAGCTTGGAATTTATTTCACTTCTCCAAGTTTGACTCTTTATAGTCAGCCAATGATAATCTTGTTTGTTAACTTAAGTTGGAGAACATGCATTTCTGGACCAAACAATACATTTTTGCCAAACAAATGTATTTTTCCATTGATTAATGGATAGTTTGGTTTTTCTCAGTCATTTGTCACTGGCCCATGAGTTTCTGTAGGAGTAGTGTCTTGAATGCGGGGTAGTTAGCTGTGTGTGTGTATGTGCATGCGTGTGTGTGTGTGTGTGTGTGTGTGTGTGTGTGTGTGTGTGTGCATGCACGCTCACACAGGGCACACTACTAAGCAAATGGAAGAAAGCAAAGTGGAGAAGGGATAGTGTTCATACACAGAGAATGTGACTACAAGCTATCCCTGTGCATGCTTCACAGGAGATGACTTCCTGTGAAAGGTGAAACGTTAGTTGGGTCTTGCAGAGGATAATGACCTGACATTGTCAGAAAAAAAAAAAAAGCAGATGGTTCTCCCAGGTGGTGGGAACTGCATGAACTATCTCCAAGAATCATTTTAATGGCTATAGTGATTAATTAATATAGTTATTCCCTAGTATGTTTGCATACTTGCATTTTAAACAATAATTTATCATTATAGGTAGTGTCTGATTATCACCAGTGTTAGTTAAAAATTATTATATAAAGTTTTATTAATTAAAAATATCCAACCTTCATTATAAGTTTGGAATCTTTCGTGTTCTCTTGTGGTAAAGACTAGTGTGTACTATAAGTCAATATACAGATTCCATTTTAGTGGCACTTTGATGGGGGCAGTGAACGATTCAGGGAGGTTTTATTTCTCAGGATTTTTAACAGGTAGACTTGTTATGCTAAAGGTCATTATTCCTTGGAGAATATCAATGAGTGATTTCTGAAGGTTCACACGTGGACTGTGGATTTAAACCTCCTGTTTTCTTCTCTCCTGTGAGCAGAGCCTGATGCTATTCTGGGCAGTGCAGTTTCTACATAGGACAGAGAAAAGGGGCAGTAAAGGACTCTCCAGCAGGGTGCACATAGAGTGGGGCAGTGTAAGCTTCTGTCTGTCCCCAGTGTGAGCTGGATGTGTTTAAGAGAGCAGAAAATGGGTTTCTGTTAACCTGCTAACTCGCTTCTCTCCTTCATGGAGCCCTCTGAGGCCATAGCAGAATGAAGTACTGAGTAGAACTGAAAAGTGAATCTGCTCAAGTGTGTCACAGGGACATGGGAGCCCGCATGGGCAGAGATGGATATTGCTAGGCATTAGCGGGCTGTTGGAGAAAAAGGTTAGAAGTCAAGAAGAGGTCAGCCATCTACTAGGAGGTGAGAGGATGGACAGGTACATTTAGGGAGAAGGATGGTGGAGCTGGGCAGATGATATTGTCAGGCAAGCAGAGGAGCTCCTGAACTGGGAACATCTGGCCCAGTTGCTGTGAAAGAACAACTGGGGAGGCAAGTCCACTTGCTCATGACTTGAGATGGCCTCTTAATGTGAAAGAAAATAGGTAGAAGCCAGCAAGCATGGAAGATGTTTTATACCTAGCTCAAATGTCACCTCCTTAATTTCCAACCTAGCTTCTAGTTTATCAATAGTACTTCAAGCTATTATTTGTTCAAATTTTAGTTACTTAAAGAAAAGAGAAGTAATTTCTTATCAACAAGATCATATTATATAATAAAGGATTATTGTGTGTCCTGAGGTTGCTGTGGTTATCAGTCACTTGACTCTTGACTTCTATAGCGTTCCCATACTGTGTGCATACATTCCTGAGAGTGTTTAGCATCCACACTCTACAAACATGGCAGACTTACCCCTAGATGTGGTTACTGTAATGTCTTACTACTGAGCAGCAACAACAGTTTCTGAATGTTAATCAGTCCTGCTGACTGACATTGGGTAAGCACTCAGGTTGCTAGTGTCTGAGTTCAGATCTCCTGTGGGTAGAAACAATGTTACTTGTGCATGAAAAACTTAATTTGGCAGAGGCTGGTTTATGGTGAGGAATTTTATTTCAGCTTTGTTTTTTATAGGATTCTTTTACTTTGGGACCAGGTTAAACAGCTCTGTGTAGGAAATTCTGAAGCATTCCTGTGGCAATCCATCCTTTTCCCACCATGGTTACTGCTTGAGGTGACGTCCTTATCTCCTGCCTTGTGTGCAGCCGGGGTGCCAGGCAGTCTGCAGCTGGTGTGGGACTTTCTGTCGCTGGTGTGGTCCATGGAACTAACTGTTCTTCAAAACATGGGAGGATAGCTGAACTTTGGGAGGAGATTTCAAGAGCTATAGTTTCAATGTACACGTGTCTGTGTGTGCATACCTGCAGGCTCATATGTATTGTGTGTATGTGTGTTCTTTGGTGTACCTATTTTATAAAACTATTGGAAAAAATCTTGCTTTTTGCTTAGTCTTAACCAGGTGCCAATAAGGAATTTTTGCAGTTGTCCATCTTAACTGGGCTGGAAAAAAAAATCTATCACACTAATTTGCATTTGCAGTAGGCAGACTTCCTAATAAATTGCTTGCAAGGGAAGTGGATTTTAATTGGGGAGGGAAACTAATGTCCAGTGTGATTGATCTTATTAAAAAGGTAAATCATTCATGTATGAGGTTTTAATATTTCAGCCACAAGATTAGCGCTGTTACATTGTGAACCTCATTTGAAATGTTTGTCAAAGGCATGAGTGAAAAACAGTCTCAACTGATAAAACATCACATGGCAAGCCCAAGATGGTGTTTCCAGAGGAATGTTCATCTGACAAGGTGATTGCCAAGTCAAAATTGATACATCTCTTGAAGAAGGAAAGGTGTAAGGATGTGCTAACTTCTCTAGCAGGCTGTTACTTCACAAAAGGTTAGAATTAGTTACATCTGGAGAAGAAACCCAGCTGTCTTTGTTGCAATGAATAATATGAAGGTCTGTTGAAATCCATGCAGTCCCATTTACGAAGGAACACCTGGGAAGCTTTATTTTGAGCTTAGAACAAAACATGAAATTGTTGAGAACATCCTATTTAAATGTCCTCATTTCCATAGGCAGGTCAGCAGGGGTAAAGCAGCCTTGCTGGCTGTCTTCTTACAGAACAGAAAGGTGCCAGTTGCTGAGTGCCTGAGAGTGGTAGCAGAAGATTAACACTGGCATTGGTGACTCTGCTTGCGATCTGGTCCTTTCCCACACCTTCCTGTTTTTATCGTTTTATCCACTCTAGTGTTTGCTGGTCCAATCCTAGCAGGAGATTTCTATTCTCCTCACCAAGATGGAAAGTCAGATTTTTCCAATTTAAGGTCCTGCACATGTTTGAGACACAGACTTGGACCTATAATTCTGTAAGCTACCATTTGACCATTCCATCTTCAGATGTTTCATTCTACTTAAATAGAAATCAAATCGACCCCTTGGATCAAGTGTTCTATCTTTATTTTTCAAATTGAAACTCTTTTTCATACATCTTTCATGAAGCTGTCTCATTAAAAAAACACACACATGTAAAAAGTCAAAGAGAGAAGAGTAGGAAATATTTTGTCAACATGAAGGACAGAAGAAAAGACAATCTAAATATATTTTGAGCACATTCATGGAAATGAACTTTATTTTGGGTGAGTTTGATGACTAACTGTGATTATGAGTGGTGGGAAACAGTGAAGTGAAGCGATTCCAAACATGTTTTAAAGTGGTATTATTGCAAAGAATGGAATAAACAGCTTAGTCTGAATCTAAACAAAAACCATGCATTTTTATTAATGTAGACTACTTTTCTGTAAGCTCATTAAAGAAAATACATGAAAAATCAAATTTTT